CACTTCCCAGCCCAATCGTATTCCGCTGCAACTCTCGCAGGTACAGTGTTCGGGGCTGTCATGCGTTGATATAGTCCGTCTGTTTGTCGAAGAAAGTTCTGCAACGAATAAAAAATTTTGGTTAGCACATGAATTTGTAAAAACGGTCAGCGTATGAGATATATATATATTACATACCGCAAGGACAATGTCACCGGTGGTGAATCTTCGAGAACACAAGTCCTGCCGTTGCTCGAGCTTGTTCCGCGTGAACATGAACAACGAATTGATCACCTGTATAAGTCATTGTTGTTAGAAAAAAACTAAATACCAGTACAGCACATATTTGGGGTTTCGAAAAGGTAATGCGAGTGAGATACGGGTTCGCCAGGTCTGGCTGCAACGTCGCTCCCGGCCCTTCCGCATCAGAGTCCTTGAAGTCCTCGGCGTATTCGTCTTGGATAAATTATGTTAGCAAATAAAATCTTGTGTTTAGAGTTGAAAAGTCAAAAATAAATACCTTGTGTCAATAGATGACTCTAACGGATGCGAATCGATCGTAATATGGTCCACCTGTCTGCTCTGAACAAGAGTCTGCTCGAGAGGGGCAGCCTCACAACGCGCATGTAGACGGCTATCTTCCTTGTGCACGTCCTCTGTACCCATGTCTTCCTTGCGCGTCAAGGCAGGTGAATGCTGTTGATACAGGGTAGAGTAACCTTCGTTAGACCATGCTTATAATCGAATTTGAACTTATAGATTACGAACACATACCTCGCGTTCTGGTTCAACCTGGTCCCCGGTCGTTTGGCCGGACTGATGTTCCTTTGTCTCCTGCTCGATCACATGGGGGGGATCGATGATCATGTCATCCGTGTCGTCCATGTCCCTAGGAGATGGTGTAGAACCATTGCCATCCTTAGGACCATCACCTCGATCACTATGTCCCCCACTGGGTGCATCACTCGGACCATCTCCTGGCCCAGGACCATCACTCGGACCATCTCCTTGTCTAGTACCATCACGGCTGCTGCATCTTCTCATGTCATTCGGGTCGACAGGCAAACCCTATACAATGGATAACAAGTTAGTTATCGCTATATGAAAATGACATCGTAGTTATTATAAGTGAAAACTGTTATTACCTTAGCGATTCTTCGCAAGAACTTCCGGATGGATTTTAATTCAGTCTTAATACCTTCGAACTCGTCGTCCATGCGCTTGTCCATGCACTTGATCCGTTTCTCAACTTTCCTCAGATGCACACTAGACATGCGTACCTTCTTACCACGTCTATTCTCCTCTTTCTCCTCAGCCTCTTCATGGACGTCTTCTCTGACACCTTCGTCGACATTCCCTCCTTGTCTCCCGTCGTCCTTCTCTGGTCCTGCACGTGCACTTGATGGTTCAGCAGCATTGTTCTCGCGCGGGACTTCGTCCTCATCTTCGGGCTCCGGTGGTTCGAACGTCCTATCTAGAAAGGTCGTCTCAGCATCCGTTGCTTCTATTGATCGAGTTCTTCCCTACGCCAAAGGTAATGAACGTGTCGGCATAAATATGGAACTTAAAGAAACTTATAGGTATAAACAAGATTGAACTTACTGTGCTAGATCGAAAAATCTCTCTGTCAAGCACATGCCATGCAGTTGAATGGCCGCACCTCCATCGAAGAATCCGTGGCACGGCGTCCGGATTTACCTTATTGGCCACACGTCCAGATAAGAAAGATATAGTCTCGTAGGCCCATACCTGTAAGTATATAAGTGTTGGACGTTATTGATTGGTTAAAAGGAACGAAAACTGTAAACAAGTATATAGGCTCATACCTGGAACGCGCAAAGGAAACCGTAGAGACTGTACGATTTCCTGAACCCGCCATCCTTCGACCTCTTCGTCGGGCTGCGCTTCAGACTATATATAGTCTTATCAAAGGACAACATCCCCCAGTCGTGGTTGCAGCACGTTTCCCAATCATCGACTATTCCCAGCAATGTATAGTCGTACTTCAGGGTCCTCTCTCTCCCCAACAGAACTAACTCTACTAAGTAAACAATAGATACCTTGACCGCGTCGAAGTCATCCTCGAACCGTGCGACTAAATAAATCTTCTCAAATTCACTCAACAAAACGTCGTTGCTATCATTAAGTAAAGAGCCTTAAGTCTGTGGGGAGATGTGTCTTTTCTAACTAGACCTCTATCATACTTAAGCCCAGAAATAATGTTGAACTCCCTCCGCCCAAAAGACACCTTACTCCCAAACAGGTTGAAGCTAATGGTGTCAGGTGTACTATCCTCGATCTCCCTAAGTAGGATGTTGTGTATCAGTGGCCCATTAAATACGAGGTCTAAGTCAAGGAGATGGACGAATATAGTTTTCCTAAACATCCTAAGCTGTGGTGGGGTCAATTTACTCTTAATGGCTGCGGTAGTCTTCGCTAAGTGCGACAGACATGTCAAATTGGCGGAGGCATAGGATGAGGAAGGGATTTTAGCTACCATTTCCATTTTGAATTAACCTGTAGATGAGTAAATAAAAGATCCTATGATTAGAGAAAATGAAAAACCATACATATAAATATATGCTAATAACCAACCAATCCTTAAACGAACCCGAAAAAAAAAACTATTTCTGTCAACTTTCTCGGGGCAATTTTCGGGCGAAGTCGTGCATGAGAATTTTGGCAGTATTAATGAACTCGAACCTTTCGCTTGGGAATCATTAATCCTGTAAAAATTCTCATGGACTTTCCCGGGCGAGAACGGGCCCCGAGAATTTTTCCAGATCCTACATCTCCCACAATTTCACTTTATTTCGCCCGAAATGCCCCGGGAATTTAGAGTGTTATTTATTGTCTGTAAAAATTCTCGAGGCATTTCGGGCGAAATAAATAAATTAGGATTTCCAACACACCATGGCCGAAATGCCCCGAGAATTTATCCAACCGATAAATAATACTCCAACTGCATATCCACCACGCCCGAAAAACCCCGAGAATTCATAATTTCCCAAATCCGTAACCTAATTTGCCCGAAAACCACCGAGAAATCATTAAATTC